TATGTGAGTCTTGGCTACTTACGAGGGTTGCTGAGATCACTCCTGTCCGCCTGGGGAAACCCGCCCGTGCCCAGCAAGTGAAGGCTGGGGAAGTCCGCTCCCAGGGTGGCCAGCTGAGGGCGCCAGAGGGCTGGCGTGGGTGCTGCGTGAGCTCCTTGGCCGGAAGGAAAGTCCTCGTCAGAGCCGTGTCCCAAGTAGGGCAAATGGAACAGAATGGCGCTTCTCTCCTCGAAGCCACACTTCTGCCTGTGCCAGATGAAGGCTGAGCACTTATGAAGTTCTGTGTTCTCTCTGGATCACAGGAGGCCACGGCGTCGGCCACCCATGGGACCTTGTGGGAACCGGGTCATGCAGCCGTGGCATCAGCACGTCGGTGTCTCAGCTGCCAGGGCAGCCCGGCTGGGCTGGAGCAGGGATCAGGCTGTTTCCGGTGCTGGGGACAGAGGCACCCCCTTGTTCCCAACCCACTGGGTCGTGGGGAAGCTCAGGAGCACCTCCCACAGGTGTTCACACAGATGCAGACAAGCCACAGGCGGGGGACACGGGCTGTGAAGAGTGGGGACATGCAACTGACAAATTCCCCTTCACTGGAACAAAAAGCCAGTGCCTTTTTGAGGAGGTGACAGCAGCAGACCGTCAGCCTGGGACAGAGACCAGTGACCCCACGACCAGTGCCTCCCCAGGACCACAGCACAGCCAGGACAACAGCCCCCCAGGACCAGTGCCCCCCAGGACCAGTTCACCCCAGGACCACAGCACAGCCAGGACCACAGCCCCCCAGGACCACAGCCCCCCAGGACCACTGTCCCCCAGGACCAGTGCCCCCCAGGACCAGTGCTCCCCAGGACCACAGCCCCCCAGGACCAGTGCCCCCCAGGACCACAGCCCCCCAGGACCAGTGCCCCCCAGGATCAGTAGGGGGCTTGGAGGGACTGGCCTCCTGCATCGGCAGGTAGGACGGGGGAGGGCCTGAGAACTGTCCTGAGACAGTGGGGACACATTCGTCTCCGCAGGTGGTGGGNCCCCAGGACCACAGCACAGCCAGGACCACAGCCCCCCAGGACCACTGCCCCCCAGGACCACAGCCCCCCAGGACCACTGCCCCCCAGGACCACAGCCCCCCAGGATCAGTACCCCCCGGGATGAGTACCCCCCAGGACCACAGCCCCCCACGACCACAGCACAGCCAGGACCACTGCCCCCCAGGACCAGTGCCCCCCAGGACCAGTGCCCCCCAGGACCACAGCACAGCCAGAGCCACGGGAGAAGCCTTGGGGAGGGGGCTTGGAGGGACTGGCCTCCTGCATCGGCAGGTAGGACGGGGGAGGGCCTGAGAACTGTCCTGAGACAGTGGGGACACATTCGTCTCCGCAGGTGGTGGGGCCTGGACTACTGGGGTGTGGCTTTAATCATAACTGTGACTGACATGTTCCCACCGAGCCCTGCTATGTGCCTGACCCTGCGGCTGGCACATCACATGAATTAGCTCATTGACTCCTCACAACAAGCCTCTGGAAAAAAATGCTTTCGCGGCACCTGGGGGCTCAGTCCCCCGTTGAGCATCCAACTCTTCATTTGGCTCAGGTCATAATCCCAGGGTCATGGGATCGAGCCCCGCATCAGACTCTGCACTGAGCATGGAGTCGGCCTCAGATATTCTTTCTCTCGCGGTCTCTCTCTCTCTGACCCTGCACATGTGTTCTTTCTCTCTCTCTCTCTCTAAAATAAAATTTAGAAAAAAAGCTGTTACTACCCCCACTTTGCACACGAGTAAAATTAGGCGCAGAACATCTAAGTAATTTGCTCAAGATCACACAGCTGCGAACCTAGCTTGAAGCAGGAATCATATAGGACATAAAGGGCAACAGATGTATTTTGGAGATCAGATACCTACCTCTTACTGCCACGGTCCGATGCCCGGGCTCCCCACGGAGGTTCACATTGTGCTGTGCTCTTTCCTTCTCTTTCCTTAGGCAAAAGGGACAGGAAGGGGCTGGGCCCCGGAACCCCAAGGCAACAGAGAGGGGTATTTGTGTGCATAAACCACATCTCCAATATCCGTGTAATGAACATGCAACACCTATCATGCGTACATAGCCGTCCTCATCACTCAGAGTCCCTGTGTGCACATTCGCCTGCTCACGAATCTATTTGTGACATGAACGCTGACCGCCGAGGTCCCGCCAGGCGACCTTCTCTTTAGAGCTCTCACACTGTACACAAGAGTCCTTGCATGGCCTGTTCACGGCCGCATTTCTCGTATGCGTGTGCTTTCCGTTGATTTCGCTGTTGAAAGGGTTCCCGTGCGCGGTGGGGAAGCGGGGCCGCTGGGCGAGAGGGCTGGGGTGTGCCCTGCAGAGAGAGCGCGTGTGTGCGTGAGCTGTGCCTGGGCAGGAGTTACCTGCCTGGCTGCTGGCGGTGGGTTCAGTTTAATGCGTCACTAATATATACGAAAACGAGTGTCGTTAGGCAGACACACATATCAAGCAAGGTCACGTATCATCATGGATGAAATCGGTTAGGAGGCCCTCGGGAACCTTGAACAGAGAATCAACGGTATGTAGAGACTCAGGAGGACATGGTGACTGTGTTGTGAATATATGGAGTAGATACTGATTCGCCAGGCTCTCTCCCAATTCTAGAAGCAGACACGCTGCTGTGCCTGAGGAACGGGCTTTCCGACAGGACCCCGCTGGGTGTCAGGACGAGAGCAGCCGGTCACCTCTGTCCAGACTCTCCCAAAGGAGCTCAGGGCGCAGCGGGCACCAGGCAGCTCACAAACATGAGTTTTAATTCCCACCAGGATGCTGTTAGGCATCTAACTATTGCCTGTTTGACAAACAGAAGAGTGGAAGGTCTTGAGCGCAAAGAGAGCCCCTCCAGGGTCGCACACCTGGAATGTCAACCCACAGGCGCCCTGGGACGCTTCCTGTTGTTCCCGCTGCCAAAGGCTGGCCCGTGCCGCCGCCTGTGAGCACCTCATGCACGTTACCTGAGCCAGGACGCTGAGGAGCCGGGAGACCAGGGTGGTGGGATCGAGGCCGGGAGCTGGCCTGCCCCTTCCTCTGCTCGGGCTGGGGGAGGGGGCAGCCGTGGGACCCTCTGCCGCAGTCCCACCCCCTCCCCGGCCAGCAGGGTCCCCCTGGAAGGAGACCCGAAGGAGGGAAAGAGAGGCAGACCCAGCAAAGGGGGTGAAGGAATTAACCTCATCGGAAGAGGAGAAAAGGAAGGTTGGTGGGTTTGAATGTCACCAGCTGTTTCTCCTGGGGCATCGATGACCCTCTGGTGGCCCACCTGTGTGTGGGGGGGGAGGGAACACAGCCGCAGCCACCACAGAGGGGCGCCCCGCGGCGACCTGTAATCCGCCGGTGGTGGAACGGGAGGCAGAGCATCTGACATGGGTTAAATCGGCCGAGCCCCTGAGCCCGGGGCGGAGGCCGTGGTGGTTGTTCAAGAACCCGCCCTTGGTTATCAGAAGGGTGGTGTAGGCTCGGCTCCTACAGCGCAGGGCGTGCTGCACCAGGAGACCCCCCTGGAGGAGGCGAGGCAGGGATGGGGCATGAGAAAGTTCCGAGAAGGATCCCCCATTTCTGCGCCCACAGAAGTGTGCCAGGGGCGCAAGCACAGGAGCTGCGGGCCAGGAAGTGCGCGAGACCAGGGCTTCCCCCAGCCCCGCACGCGAGGCGGCCCCTGCCAGTTCCGGGAGCAGAACCCCAAACTCTTGGCTCTGGTGCGGGGGCACTGCCAAGGAAGCCACGCGTCCCTGAAGAGCATCCTGGGCCTGAGGCGGTGTGGCGAGTGACGTCACAGGCAGCGGGCCACCTGTCCCGTGCCAGAGACCCCGGTCCCATAGGAGCCTTGTCTCCCTGAGCTCGTGAGTGTGTCATGAGCCAGACAGAGATACGAGACTGACTTGACTCAAAATAAGAGTCCAGGAGGGGATGTGGGCCCAGGTCCTTCCTTGAAGAAGCGCTTGAATGCAGAGTGGGCCCCACTGGTCTCCCCCCGACCCTGGAAGGGGAGGCCTAGGATTTCCGAGGTGGGAGGCGGGCCAGTGGGGGACACCCCGGCTAAGCCGCTGGGCCCAGGCCGGCGGCTGGCGTCGGGCAGGAGGGAGAGGCCACAGAAAGACGGGCCTGTGTCACCGGTACACCCACCCCTACCGAAGATCGCCAGGACCCCTTCGTGGAGATGCCTAGAATAAGGTTTTGTGCGCAAACCTTCCCCCGGGCTGGCACGGCCGCGGTAGAAGCCGTCAGCCTCCTCTCCGGACGGCTTCAGATGCGGCACTTGGAGGGGGAGACACGAAGCCAGCCGCTGGGAGGGCGCTGGAGCCGCCCAGCCGCCTCACACGCGGGAGGGAGACATGACTGCCCGCACCCCTGCAGAAGCCGTGCTCGGGGATGCATTCGATAGAAGCGAAGCAATTTTGCTTGCAGTCGGAAATTATATGTTACTCCAAGAGGCTTATTTTAATTGTTTATTTTTTAGGCTTAAAACTTTTTTTAATGTTTATTTGTTTTTGAGATGGGGGGGGGCGGTGGGGGAGACAGAATCCAAAGCAGATCCAGGCTCTGAGCTGTCAGCACAGCTCGAACTCATAAACAGCAAGATCACGACCTGAGCCAAGGTCTCAGCGGGCTTACCCGACTGAGCCACGAGGCGCCCCGCCTCCGAGATGTTTTCAGGGCTGATGTCACTTGAGTTTTTGTGCAAGTGATTGGGAACAGGAGTAACTGTGGATTCTGGAATTCCCTTACACGCAAGCCTTTACTGCTGCTGGGCGGGCTTCACGGGCCAGGCGGACCCTGCCCCAGCAGCTGATGCATTAGAGCCATGCACACTCATGCCTGTTCACACACACACTCCTCTCCCCCTCTCTCCACTTTTGTGTCAATGAAGCCAAGAGGAAATTGAGCAGATTTCAAGGATTTTCTTTATTTGAAGAAGCTGTATGTGGACCCAGAGGAAAGGATAGAGGCCGAGTCAGGAACTCAGGAAACCTGAGAAAGGATGGTGACTTCTCTTCATTTCCAAACATCCAGGGAACCCGCTGGGTTCTTGGGAGGGACTCCTCTTAATAATGACAATCTAGAAATGTGAAATGCCAGAAGTTTGAAATTTGCAGCGTCAGCGGTCTCCTGTCAACAGACTTCCTGCTGAGGGATCCCCCTCCCGGGGGTGAAGAGGGGTGCTTCTCGGGGGTCTACCCCCCCCCCGACCCCAGGAGCTAGCTTTTGTCCAGAATGACCCTTAGCAAAGGAATCGCTTGGAAGAGTCTAAGAGAAGGCTGCACTGTCTGGAGGACCCTGAGGTTCTAAAACAGGGACAGATCGTCCGTCACGGGCAGGGGCATCGACCCTCCAGCAAGGGCAGGGGCCCGAAGCCCATGTTGGGAAGGTGCCCGAGCTTTCCTTGGTGTGGCCAGACTCAGTGTCAGCAGACAGGCTGCAACACACGGGGAGGGGGCGAGTGGACCCTCCTGGGGTGGCACAGGGCAGGCGGCCGTGGGCAGGCCCGTGTGCCCCCGGGCGCCCAGTCCAGCACACGGCCCTCAGCAGCACCGCAAACAGGTGTGACAGTGAATGGGCGGTGTGACCAGCCCAGCGAGGACCCAGGGGCGTGGCTCAGGTGACTTGCTCTCTGCAGCCGTCACACAAGCCCCCAGTGGGAGCACTGGGCAAAAGCAGCCGTCAGTGTGGACAGCGTGGGACTCACCCTCAGAGCCGCTCATGGGGCCCAGGGGCCTGGCCTGGATGGTGGTGAGGCCAGAGCCGGCTCAGGGCCAGCAGCCCCCCGCCACGGCCCCGGCCCCCAGCCCGCCCCCCATGGACAGTACCCTGCACGAACAGTACCCTGCACGGACAGTACCCTGCACAGACAGTACCCTACATGGACAGTACCCTGCACGGACAGTGCCCTGCACGGACAGTGCCCTGCAGTCCCCCACCCTGCCCTGCACAGACAGTACCCTGAACAGACAGTACCCTGAACAGACAGTACCCTGCACGGACAGTACCCTGCAGCCCCCACCTTGCCCTGCACAGACAGTACCCTGAACAGACAGTACCTTGCAGCCCCCACCCTGCCCTGCACAGACAGTACCCTGAACAGACAGTACCCTGCACAGACAGTACCCTGCACGGACAGTACCCTGCAGCTCCCACCCTGCCCTGCACAGACAGTACCCTGAACAGACAGTACCCTGCACGGACAGTACCGTGCACGGATAGTACCCTGCAGCCCCCACCCTGCCCTGCATGGACAGTACCCTGCACGGACAGTGACCTCCAGCCCCCACCCTGCCCTGCACGGACAGTACCCTGCACGGAGATCGGGAAGAAGCACCAAGGCACTTCTACGATGTTGTCGGAAAAGCAGCACTTGCGGGACGCACACTCCTCGGGGCTGATGCCCGGGTACCCGCAGTTCCTGCGGGCTGAGACCTCCATGACGCACTCTTCCGACTCTGGTCACGCGGCCCCCGGAACCGGGAAAGGAGTGACACGGAGACCCGGTTAGGGTGGTGGGCTGGCGCAGCGTCTCCTCCCGTCCTCCCCGGGGGGGCCACCCATCTGTCTCCTCCCCTGAGCGCCCAGGGAGCCAGGCACCCACGGCCGCTGGCGGTGTGGATGGGTGGCCGAGGGTGCCGAGTTCCGCCCGCGTGGTGTGCTCTGTGCACACGACTCTCTTTCGTGCATGCCTTGGAATTAAAGACCTGCTGTCTTCCTGATGTGCACGGACGCAAAACTTCTCAGAAGAAAATCCTGGAAATCTTAACTGAATCTCTTACCATTTAGGGTCTATGTCTGAGCAGTTATGTGGATAACGTCCTATGAAATGCCTTCATTTCCCTTAAAACTCCATCAGAAGTCTTACTTTCCCAGCTGGGAGGCCCTGAGAGCTGGTTTTCCTCCTAACATAGTAAAACTGATGGGTTCTCACAAAAGCCTACAGAAGGGCACGGGGCTGGGGCTCCTGGGTGGCTTAGTCGGTTAAGCGTCCGACTTTCGCTTAGGTCATGATCTCGCGGTTCGTGGGTTCGAGCCCCTCGTCGGGCTCTGTGCTGACTGCCAGCTCAGAGCCTGGAGGCTGTTTCAGTCTGTGACTCCCTCTCTCTCTGACCCTCCCCTGCTCATGCTGTCTCTCTCTCTCCTAGAAATAGATAAAAATATTAAAAAAAAAAAAAAGAAGAAGAAGAAGAAGAAGGGCCCGGGGCTGACCCTGGGGGCTCCAGGTGTGGACCGCGGGCCAGTGCCCCCTTCTCCTCCCCTTTGGCGGCCGAGGCGGGCGTCCACGCACATGCGCCGGGAAGCCGGCCAGGGCGCGGGAGGAGGGCCAGCTCCCCTGCGGTTACCTTGCTTTGGGAGGGGGTGGAAGCACCAAGGGACCCCGGCGAAGTTGGAGTCGAAGCAGCACCCGGAGGCGAAGCACTGGTCGCTGGTGATGCCCGGGAATCCACAGTTCTCCCGCTTCTGGGGGGTGATCCGTGAGCACCGACAGGGGGCTGCGGGGAGAGGGGAGAGCGTGTCAGCCCTTCCCACCCACGCCCCCCGCCTGCCGGGTCCCGCGGCCACGCACGGAAACGGCAAAGCCCCGTCCCACCTGTATGGGAGCCATGAGATGCCCTTCTGAGAAACACGCGGGGCTCTGCAGAAATTACTTTATTAGTTAAACAAAAAACAAAAGAAAACACACAAAAAAAGAAGACCTGGAAAGGGGGCCATCAGCGGACCTAGGAAAAGTCAAAGTGAAAGGTGACCAAGGTGGGTTCCAGACGCCCGGCCCCTCTCCCCGGCTGGCCCACCGGCTCCTGTGTCACCCTGACCTTGTCGGGGAAGGACGGCTTTCCTGGAGGTGTCACACAGCCCCAGAACGGCGGGAAGGGTGCGCGAATGTGCACCCACATCTCGAATCTCAGGGTGCCTGTTTTATTACTTCTGCTCTCAAGTGAGCCCACTGCCCCCCAGGGGCAGAGACCCCCAGTGCACAGAGACCCCAAGGGAGGCACCGCAGGGAGCCAGCGGCTTGCACACGCCCGTGCCTTTTGGGGTCCACAAGAAGGTTTTCGGGGCTCCCTGGCCCCAGCGCTCCGTCGTCTAGTCAAGGACACCGAGCGACACAGGACGACTTCCCGGGCTCACTTACAAGGTTTCTGGGCCCTTGCGGGGGCCCACAGCCCCAGGACCAGGAGAATTGCCAAGAGCTGGATTCCTCGGGGTCCCATGTCCGCGCTGCGCCCCAGGGCAGAAGGCGCAGTTCCCGCTGCGGACCGGTGTTTTATAATCTGCTCTCTGTTTGCTCAGCAAGTGCAGATAACCTTTGTGTGTCCCCTGGGGCACTGGCCCTGTGGGCCCTTTGTTAGGAAAAGGGGCTGAGATAGCCCGCGGCTCAGGAGACAGAGCGGGGCTGCCGCCAGGGGCTCCGTGGCCAGGCCTCCCCCTGCCCCCCTGCCCCGGGCCGGGAGCCAGGTCCCGCCAGGACGCTGACGTGGAAAACTGGCCACGTGCACGCCTGGCACTGGGCACTCACGGGGGTCACACCCAGGAAGGGATAGGCCGTGTATGTCTCCTGATAAAGGAGGTGGTTTCAGGTTTGTCTGTGTGTTTTTTTGAAATATGAGGCCGAAGGTGACTGGGGAGAAGGACCCGGCAGCCAGAGGGATGGAGAAGCCCCGCCTCCAAGGCAGAGCCGACGCCTCCGGCTGCCCGTTGTCTCCTGCGTCTCCCAGTGTCCATGCGGGTCCGCCCTCCGTGGACGCGAGGCTGGCAAGTGGAAAGCAAGTGCATTTCAACGACCCCCAAAATGCTTTCGTTTTCCTTCCACGGGAGCCCTTTGTTTCTTAAAGACCTAAGTCTGCCCGCGCGGCAGTGAAATGCTCCGTGATAGTCTGTGCTTGGGATGGAGGGAGACCGAGAAACCCCAAGGGACAAAAAGGAGAGACGGGGGGGAGAGAGGAGGTCGTGAACCCCCTCCCCAGCCCTGCCCCTCGCCTGAGGTCTTGCAGGGGGTCACCCATCTGCAAATCACGGTCGAGCAGCCCGGGGCCCAGAGAGGCACAGAACCCCAAACCCGGTGTTCTCGGGGTCCAGAGCGGGCCTTTGTGCTCCAGGCCCTTGACCCCCTGGGCAGCCTCTGGGGACCTCTGAAACACTGAAAGTCAACTTCCCCATCCCGTGTCCCCATCATCTGGGTCACCAGCAAGACAAGAGCCCCAAGTGGCCACTGTCTCTGACTCTGCTTCCTCCCCCCCGCCAGAGCGTCCTCCGTGCCAGCCCCTGCTCTCTCACCCTCCCCTGCGCTAACGGAAGCCCGCGCCTTCCCGGCCGCTGGTCCTGGAAGAGGCACTCAGGGCCCAGCAGGGCACCCACTGCTTCCCGGCTCCAGGCTCACGGCACCTGCTTAGCTCGCCAGACGCCCGCTTCCGACCGCGGCCTCTGTCGGGGCAGGATCAGATCCCGGCCCTCACTGGTCCTGACATTCCTCTTTGAGGCTCTTCTTCTCCACCCCCTCTCACCTCCATCCTGCAAACTTCAGGGGTGATGTTGACTTTCAGTTCACATGGAAAACAGATACCAGCAAATGGGAACTTCCACAGACAGCGCTGGTGTGGATCGCTGCCCCTGACGCTTACGGAGAAACTGGCCCCAGACTGTCTGTCCCGACACAGGTAACTCGACACATAGGAAATAGGGTGTCGGGGTGCTGAGCGTGCGCAGGGCAGCGGCAGGCTGCGGGAAGGAAGTGGAGCGGGTGTCCCTCGATTGCCCTCGTTCTCTGCCTCCAGGCGCCATCTGGACCTTAGGGAGCAGGCAGCTCGTTGGGCTGCGGGGACGGCAGTGGGAATTAGAAGCCTCGGAGGCTGTGGATTTCAGGGGAGGGGTCCCCAAGAGGAGGGCGCTCCAGAAATGTGAGTGGGGGTCTCCCCGGGGTTTTACTGAAAGGCCACGCTGCCCACGCAGATGCAAGGGCAGGTGACAGCAGCCCTGGGGAAAGAATGGGCACTGAAGGGGGGGGGCGGCCACAGGGCGGGAACTGTCAGAGCTCTGACAGCCACCGGGGAGAGAGCTCGTTGGCCGTGTCGGGCATTCAGCAGGGACACAAAGGCCGTGCCGTGTCTTAGCTCAGGTGACCACATCACAAGGCCACAGACAGGGGGCCTTAACTAGCGGACATTTACTTCCCACAGTTCTGGAGGCTGGATGACCAAGCTCAGGCTCCCTGCCTGCGGGAGGGGAATGTTCTGGGGAGGCCTCTCCTCCTGGTCTGCAGATACCACTCCCCTGCTGTGTCCTTGCCTGAGAGACAGAGAGAGACAGAGACAGAGACAGAGAGAGAGACAGAGAGACAGAGACAGAGACAGAGAGACAGAGAGAGAGCAAGCTCTAGTGTCCCACCATGAAGACTCCATCCTCATGACCTCAACTCACCCTAATTACCTCCCGAAGCCCCACCTCCGAGTAATAATCGTATCAGGGGTCAGGACCTTAATCTTATGGGGACACACGTTCAGTCCACATTGTGCCATAGAAGTAGGCTTGATCTGGTTCTAGAGCAAAGGCACTTGGTGCCCACACGAACGGAACTTTAACACAAGCCCTAAAAGAATCAAGTTCACCTGGCAAGTAGATTAACTGCCTGGCAGAACCAGACTCAGCATTTGATGAGGGAAGACGCCAAAACCCAGACACACGACATTACGTCCATGACGTCCAGCCCCAGAGCAGATGTCACCAGACGTGTGAAGGAGCAAGGAAACGTGACCCGTGGTCATTAGAAAATGCGATGAATAGAAATAGATGCAGAAGTTGCATTAAAATGTTCAAGCATGTAAAGAAACATCAAAATATAATAAGAGAACACATTTGAAAATCTGAATGGAGAACAGAAACAAGAAATGAACCAAGTGGAAATTCTAGACACGAAAACACAGTATTTAAAATGAAAAAAAAAAAAATCCACTATTCGGGGTTTAGATTAGATGCTACTGAGGAAATAACTGGTTTGGGGTGCCCGGGTGGCTCAGTCACTGGAGGGTCCAACTTCAGCTCAGGTCATGATCTCACAGTTTGGGAGTTCGAGCCCCGCGTCGGGGTCTGTGCTGACAGCTCAGAGCCTGGAGCTGCTTCGGATTCTGTGTCCCCCTCTCTCTCTGCCCCTCCCCCGCTCACTCTCTGCCTCTCAATAATAAATAAACCTAAAAAAATTTTTAATAAATAAATAAATAAACATTTAAAAAAATAGAAAAAGAAATGGCTGGTTTATCTGAAGCCAGTGCAGCAAAAATTCCCCAGACTCAAGCAGAGAGAGAAAAGGGGCCGACAGTGAGCAGGACCTCAGTGACCCCCAGAGGCAATGTCAAGGGTTCTAAGTCGTGTAAACAGGGTGCCAACCAGCAAGAGAGGAGAGAAAAAGCGTTTGAAGAAATAATGGGTAATTTAGGGGAAAACTTGTTGAAAAATCTAAACCCATGTATCTTAGAAGCTCAACAAACTCCAACCAAGAGAAATACAAAGAGAACCACATCAAGGCAAAGCACACTCAGGTTGCTGAAAATGAGTGTTTAAAATAAATTCTTACAGCCACTGGAGTTCCCCACATACCTGAACTCAGGTGACTTCCCGCTGGGCCGGTGCAAACCAGAAGGAATGGAATGACAATTTTTAAAAAAATTTTTACGTATATTAATTATTGAGAAACAGAGCATGAGTGGGGGAGGGGCAGAGAGAGAGGGAGACACAGAATCTGAAGCAGCTCCAGGCTCTGAGCTGTCAGCACAGAGCCCGACGCGGGGCTCGAACCCACGTACTGTGAGATCATGACCTGAGCCAAAGTCGGACGCTTTACTGACTGAGCCCCCCAGGCATCACCTGAATGACAATTTTTAAGCACTGAAAGATCTGTAAAGACACAGTTGTATACTCAATAAGAATATCCCTCAAAGAGAAAGGCAAAATATGCTTTTAAAAAATGGATTTCATTTTTAGAGCCGTTCTGGGTTCACGGCAAAATTGAGCAGAAGAAGGCACAGAAATTTCAAACTTTTTTCTTTTTTTTTTTCAACAAACAGAAGCCGAGAGAATCGGCCACTTGCAAACCTGTTGTCTGGGGACTTTTCAAGGAAGTGTTCCAGGCTGAGGTTGCGGTGACCCCTAACGCAGGGCGTGAGTGGCCACTTCCCACCTGGCTGGATTCACTCCGTGTGGCACCTGCTTGGCTTCTGCGTGCACCTGGGTTTGTCACCTGGTCCGGTCCTCCGGAGGCTTTTACTTGGTTGATAGCACCTATCTCTCAAAAGTGCGGCACCGAGCAAGACTCTTTAGGAACTGTACCCACATCCCCGACTCTCTTAGGCTGCTGACAGTGTAAACACCTTGCACCTTCTTTTTTGTTTTTAATTATTTTTATAGTTTAATTATTTTTGAGAAACAAAGAGAGCGTGAGCAGGGGAGGAGCAGAGAGTGAGGGAGACACAGAATCTGAAACAGGCTCCAGGCTCCGAGCTGTCAGCACAGAGCCCGATGCAGGGCTCGAACCCACAAACCGTGAGATCATGACCTGAGCCGAAGTCGGACATTTAACCAAGTGAGCCACCCAGGCGCCCCACCTTGCACCTTCTTTAGACACACCCTGACCGTTCAGCCTGCCCTAACTCTGGGGCCACCTCTTCCAAGAAGAATTCACTTTCAGCCGACTGAAGACAGGAGCCCTTTGCGCCTCACCCCTGTTCTCCTGGCTCACTGCACCTCCCTGCACCCGTGTGTGAAGTGCATTTTCACTTTCCTGGTTCCTTTATTAATTGTGCTAAAGATAACATCTAACACTCCCTGCAGGCTGACTGTGTGCAAGGGGGTCTTCTAAGGATTTTATATGTTATATCTCATTAAATCCCTACAGCCATCCCAAGTGAGGGCTGAGATTAACCCCTGTTTTGTGGTCTGTGTAGGTAGAAGGATTTGCCAAAATAAAACAGCAAGTACCTCTCCTCACTTGCGCTGTGTCTCAGGAACCTGACCCAGTGAACACACGTGGCAGCCACACTCGCTGAGACGTGGGTGATACGTGGGAACCGAGGCAGGAAGTAGCCACCGAGTGTTGCCTTTGGAAACTGGTGCAACAGCCCCTGCACATGGGTGTGTGTGAATAATCCAGGCGTCCCCTCCCGCCTTCTGGCCCGTCCCCTCATCTGTAAGAGGAGAGGTGCAGTGAGGAAGTTTAAGTGCTTTGC